TTTTTTTTGTGGTGCAGGGGATTGCAGGGGGTTTTGTCATGGTGTTCTTATTCTTATGTTGGTGTTTGTTTCTTTCGGGCAAAGGCATTGAGCGGTTGGGTCCAGATGTGACGAACTTTCCGTGGGAGGAAACCGCTCAACCAACTAGAAGCCTCAAAACCTACCCCTTTTAGAGGGTTGACATCTAGATCCTCCAGTAAATAGGTTAGAATAAGGGTACCCTCTTTCCTGCAGTCTATTTTAGTACCCCCTCCCCCAAAAAGGTTGGTAAAAGTTGGCACTCCGACCTAGACATGAGAGTTGTACCCCCAGACTAAGTGGGTAACTGGGTGCTAAGGAACCGGATGGCTCCGAACGCCAAGCAGGTCGAGACCGGACCGCTTCTCCCGCCTGGCGGCCCATGGACTTTCGGTTGGAGGCTTCTAAGGGCACCTCCAGGCGCAAGGTGACGGCATGCCCCAGGCTGATGCGATCCTGGCGTCTTGGCGACTATTTGAAACCGCCCTGGCGTTCTTTGAGCCTAGTTTTTTGTGCTTTTTTTTTTTTTGGGGGGGGGGGGGGGTGATAGAAATCCAGGAAGCCAAAAGGAACACTTAAAAGGACATGTCGAGCCATTTTTTTGGGGGGGGGAGTTGATAGGAATCCAGGAAGCCAAAAGTAAAACCTAAAAAGGACATCCACCATGTTTGGTCACATTCAGATTCCAGGCTTTATTTTGCCCCCCCCCGGCTGAACTTTGTTTCAGGGGTTCTCCATTTGGTGAAATGAACCACCCTGGCGAGCATTCCCGTCAACGTCTCTTTTTTGGTCAGCCCTTGGGAGTGCCCCCCACACTGCGAGATGCCAATCTTCCACTTAAGCCATTTGCTTAAGAATGCGTTTTGCCATTTGGTTTTTTTATTTTTTCCGGGTGTCAAAGGGACTCCGCTGGACAGATCTTCTCATTTTTGCCAGGGCACTTCAAATGGACGCAATGGAAGGCCTTCCAAATGAAAAGTTATCCATGAAGTAGCGGTTCCCTGTCACTGCGCTTGAAGCAACCCGCCGTCGCACCCTGCCCTCAGATCCTCTGCTAAAAGTTTCACTTTCAGTGGGTTAAATGGAAATCCCCACTAAACCCAAAAAAGAGAAGAAACAAAAAAGGAAAAAAAAGCTAAGGAACCGGATGGGCTTCTCAAATAGGAATTGCGCCACTTCCAGAAGTTGCTGGTTTTGTGCTGATTTTGGATACCAACTGAACTAGACGAAACATATTATGGCTTAAATTTGCTTTAAGTACCAACAAAAGGAGGTCTGAAATCCATTCTGAGAATCTCCCAGCTAGCTGCACGAGCAGCTTGTGCGGGTAATAAGTGCAACAAGGAAAGCGCTGCCAAATCGAGAAACACGTGACTTTCATGCCGAACAAATTCTTGATACCTCGCCTCGAGTGCAAGAAAACGGTGTGTCTTCTTGTTGAGGGTACCCCCTCACCCCCCCCAAGATTTGTGGTTGTAAAGGAACACCAAAGGAACACCACCGTCTAAACAAAAAATGGGCGACCCCTGAACAAAGACACACCCAAAAAGCTGATGCGCGTACTCGATGTTTGTGCTAGTTCGCCTATTCTTTCTCAAGCCCGGTGCTTGGCAACTGCTTTTGATAGGGCATAGGTGGAACACCTGGAAAGCGGTTCAATCCTTTGAAGGGGAGTTCCTGGCAACACCAATCGCCCGGAAAACCAATCGCTTGGAATCCCAAAGCTTCAGAATCAGATTGGTCGATCATTCGCTCTTGAACCCTCCCTCCCCGGAATCAGGACCCGCCCAGGCGTGTGCCTGCCACTCCGGGCCCATTTGGATCTGTAGGTGTTTTTTCTTTTCCTTTTTCGGGGGTGCCCCCAAAAGGATTGTTTTCGTTCTGGTTTCCCTTTTCAACCACCCAAAAAGGATACCCTCAAAAAAACATGAAAGTCACCCTGCAGAACAAAACTCACTTCCAAGTGCCTTGGGCGAACAAAAGTACCCCAACTGCGTGCTTGCCACTAAATGTTCTCTTGCCAAAGCACGTAAAGTCCAGGAATTCGGGGAGTGTAGGGAAACAACCCCCCCGACTGTGATCCCATAAGTCGAGTTTGATCCCAGCTGCGTTCTCAACTTTTTCGCCCGCAATTGCGGGGCGTGGCCCGGACCGAGTTCGCCTCCCCGCGCAGTTGTCGCAGCAGGGGAAGCGAACGGGAGCGGAGGCTATGCCATCGGGTGAGGGGCAACAGCTTGTTGCCCTCTTGCGCAACAAGTTTCACTTTTATCAGCTTTCCTCTATTTGGTGGTTTAGGTTGGTGGTTACTTGCGGGTGCCCATGAACCTTCTACAAGAAGCGGGTTCAAATTTTCCAATCCACGAATCCAAACCACCAATTTGCGCTTACCTGTGTTTATGTGGAGTGGACAATGCATCAGAGATGTCCCTAATGAAAGATTCAGAGCCAAGCCAACCTCGTCTTTTTCTTGAGCCTCGGTACCCTTTTCGGATGGCCTTAACAGGAAACCCAAACACCGAAAATCCACATCCTGAAAAAAGACACGCTCGAATCGTTAAAACATCATGTCTCCCCTACCCTTTGGGCTGACTTTGGGGGCTCTGGAGTTTTTGCGCCGCATGGACACTGTTGGTCCAGAGCCGGGCGTGGGAAACAAATACCTGATCTGTTTTGATCTCGAAGAGAACCCCCTCCAAAGGAAAGAAGGGCACTGGGTGTCTGGAGGCTAGGTCCTCCAGTAGAGAGGTTAGAATAAGTTGGTACCCGACTTCTTCTTTTTTCTGTAGTCTATTTTAGTAGGGGAACCCTCCCCCAAAGACGTTGGTAAAAGGGCCCTACTGGGGGATGGACGGTGGTTTCGGAGCGCCTCACAAGCCTGCCCTAGCACCAACAATTTTGCGAGTTGCTCGCCTGTATTTGTACACGAAGAGGGTGCCAAGACCATGGAACAAGACACAAATAATCAAACAGGTGGCGACACTCACGGAAGAAAACAAAAACGCATCGCATGCTCCAATCTGGTCAACTGTCCACATTCTATCATTCACCAATCAGAAACCAGAGATTTGAGTAAAGGACAAGCTTGCTGGTGCTCAGCAGGGAACGAGAAATGGAATGACCCTTATAAACCATCCATGGTTTCCTAGTAGGAAATCCTCTATGCCCTTCTGGCTCATTCAAACACATTCCCTATCGCAGTAGCAAGTTCAAGTACCTTCCAGGGTGAGCTGAAGTTCAATTTACCTAACTCCACCCCGGCTTTGCTCCGTGCCCGAGTGGCCTAGCGTCCACACCGCTAAGAGTCGCTTCGGAAATGCCAAACAGCCAAGTCAGCCAGCATTCCAAAGTCAAAGGGGGCAGCTCCCTACGGCCCGCCCCGGCAAAAACCCTTGAATTCCGCTCTCAGCGCAGGGTGGTTTTTCTGTGCCGTGGAGACCCCACGGCCGAAAACAAAACACTTGGGCCAAACTCACAGCATGTCCTTAGACTGAAAGATGTCACACACATGCGGTCCCACCCTGCGAGATCCCCGAATTAACAGTTGCCACGGGACGTGTCGGCTCTCGGTTGTCCGAATCCACCATGTGTCTGCAGTTCCGTGCAAAAACGGTTCATCCCCTTAAGCAGTTTCGGCCTTGCTGAAATTCACAGAAGCCTCCTACATCAGGTTCTTCCAAGTTTGCGCAGAAGAAAACAACCCTTCCCAAAGACTGTGCCAGGCACCGCTATGTCCATCCCGGATGCTTGCAACAGAAAACAACAAAGACTCTAGGACTCTGGGCCGGGTGAATCTTCACCTGACCCAACATTCAGCAGCCTTTGCAGTGCTCCGTGCTCGGTGCTGTTGCATTTCGGAGAGACGGACTCTCACATGTCTTCATTTGATATTGCACCAGGCCAAAGACTGAAGCAAAACCGACCTTTCGAATGCGGCCTTGTACTTTGAAACTTGGGATGCATTCCAATTCATTCTCCGGCTCTATGTGTTCTTGGTTGACGTTGGAAGGGGAGCAAAGAAATGAATTTTAGCAGTTAAGTGGATTTGGATTTCAACCACTAAACCACAATCAGCAAAAATGTAAAATGTTGCCCAACAACAACCATGTTTAGGAGACCCCTTTTTTTTCTCGTATGGGTGAAAGGGAAATGGGACAAAACCAGAATTTCGGGGTCCGAGTTTGACACGTACCCATCAGAGCCATGCTCGTTGCCGCCGAGGCCATCTTAGGATGGCAGGATGGCAGGCCAATCAGCTTCAAATCTGGGAGCAGTATCCGACATCAGCCCATGAAATCCGGGATTCATTTGGCGGTGGGTCAAAACCCTGGTGAACATCAAAATAGGTGGTACATGGGTGTTCATCCGCCCCAAAATGGAGGCATAGGTTATGACCCCGAACTAGCCTAAGCCCACTTTGCATCGGATGGAAACCAACCCACCCACCCAACCCACACCCAACCCACACCCAACCCACACCCAACCCACACCCAACCCACACCCAACCCACACCCAACCCACACCCAACCCACACCCAACCCACCCAACCCCGAAACTGTAGACCAAATCTAGGCCACCAAGTCAACCTAGAACCTCACCAATGCCTTCAACCCATGCCGAGAGATCGAGGGACTAGGGTAGCTTCCAAACATTTGCTGGGGATCCTTCTTTCCAATCCACAAGCCGGTTGAAAAACGACTGAGAGCAGGGAAACAACTTATTTTGGTAGGGAACCCTCCCAACCAAAAAAGGGGTGAGAAAGGGCAACTAGCTGGGGGACCTAGTGAATCAACCTCAAGATTCCTGGATTGGGCGTCGGAAAGCTCTCCGAGACCAAGGATCTGCCGAAAAAGCACTGTCCAAAGCGGGGCGCTGACGCACTGCCTAAAGCGCCCCGCATCCTAAGTCCCATTTCGCAACCAGCTGGATACGTTCACTCCGGGGCATTGTCAACGGAACTCGTCTCAAAGAAATGAGCCCTAGAGGCCCAGAGAAAAAGAAGAAAGAACAGAAAGCCCAAGAGTGAACCTCCGGTGTTGCCTAAGCATTCTCCAAGGCTGGAGTAATTCAGTGAGACCCTGCGCCAAAACAAACCAAGCTACACCTATCAAGTCTTCATGGGACGACTTCCTCGCCAGAGACCGCGATGAGAAGACTTCTTTTCTCTGCTATTTCCCGCCCCTAAACCAACAAGGAAACAAAAGGCACCACCCCCAAACATGGCATCTCGCTTCAAAGAAAACGTCCATTTTTTTCGTTTGAACCGAAGAGGGGGAAACATAGCTCAAGTGGGATCCGCAAGACTACAAGCCGGGACACTGGGTTGAAACTGTGGGAGAACGGGAAAACTGGCGTCCGACCACACGACGACCATGTGCAAAGCCGGGAGAGGGTTTCTGAATGGCACAAGGTCCCTCATGGGAATCTGTGCTGGTGCATGGAAACCATCCATTTGCTCGTGTGCGAAACCAATGATGACCAATTCCTGCTCATTTGAGATCCGCCACAAAAAAGAAGAAGAAAAAACGCCAGGTAACTGTTTGAACACGATCTAAGCCGTGTAGAGATTGAACAGCAACTGCTCTCCAGCCTGTAAAATACACGCTCGTACACGCTCGCCGTGGTTTGACGGCACTCGCCGTGGTTGGGCGGATTCAACAGAAACACACATGAGCAGTGCTCGTTTCACCCATGACTTTGATATACAGGTTTATACGGGTATGAAGTCCAATACGGGACCGTGGTGAAACTCAGTTTGTTGGGAATTGATGTCCACCATCCACTTTGGAGGTGGTTCCCCATTTCATTGAACTTCCCGGCCACATAGGCCTTTCTTGCTATAGTCCAAGCAAACCAATTACTAAGATGGCCCTTCTGTCTCGGTTTTGGGCGCCTGGTTCCTGCGATTTGACTTGGGACAGTCCCCGCATGGGTAAGACCCTCTACCGGGTAGACTCTGCCGCCACAATCAAAAACCCGGCAATAAACAAATGGCCGCCCCACAGCCATGTAAATCCAAGGGGCGGAGATCTGCACCTATCTAGGATGGATCGCCCCATCCTTAAACTAGCTGGCTGCGATCGTGGCTCACGACAGGTTGACACCAGGCTCATATAGATTCCTCAGAGCCTTGCCATGCTTCTTACTTCCCACCACACAAACTACGCCTTATTGTACAACGGCCGGTTGGGTGAACATTGTGGACAGCGTACATTGACTTGCCCCAACTCTGGGGAACACCCCAAATCATACTTCCAGGTTGTGTTTCATATGTAGCCATCCTCAACAACTATCATATATTCGGAGACCCCAAATAAGAATCATCCAAGCCGAGCGTGTCCTTCAGGTCTCACCTTACCCTTAATTGGTGCTTTGGATAAATATGGTTGACGTTAGAAGGGGAGCCAAAAAAAAGCAGTTAAGTAGGGATTTCCCACTAAATCACAATAAACAAACATGTAAAATGTTTCCCAACAACAAGCATGTAACTCGAGCGAATGCCCAGGTCTTTGTCCCTTGCCCCACCCGAAACGAGTCCACCCGGTCCGGTGGCACAAGACGAGAGTATCGTTGGCGATGCTTGGGCACCTTGCCGCGCTGAGAAACCCAGCGCGCTAGCGCGCTCGTGGCTTCAAGGCAGCCAGGAAGGTGGACAAATCTAAGTAACTTGAACCCGTCCCACAGGGGTGCTGTCCCTCCAAAAGCGGGCTGAATCCAACCAACAGGCTTGGGAAACCAAACACATCTCTCAAAATCAACCAGGATACGTTTTATTGTTAGAAAAAAACAAAACATCTCTCAAAATCAAACCAGGATATGTTTAAACAAAAAAATGGGGGTCAACCATTTGGGGCAAAGGCAACAGAAGCCCTCCAGGCCTTTGAGGCGTGGAAAATCCGACTCACTGGGAAATGGCTGGCGTGGGGCGGCCGTCTGGAAGGCGTCCTCCAGATTTGAGAGGTTGGAATAAGTTGGTACCAACCAATTTTTTACTGTTTCGTCTTTTCTTTGGTAGGGTTCGGAACCCTCCATCTCTCCCAAAAAAGAGGTGAGAGGTCGGGCAACTAGCTGGGAGAAAGAAGAAACTGTAGGTGGTTTAAGTTTACCCTCCCAACTATCATGGGTTTGTGCAAAAAGGCGCTTTCCAAGAGGGAAGTAGGGTCTGCTCCCTTCCATGGTGTTAGCTGGTCGGAGGGTGGGGTAGTTCGGCGGGCAGCTCTCATGGGCTTGGAGAGTCTGAGTGTCTGGACAATCTTGGACTTGGCTCAGTCGCCAGTTTCCGCGGCAATCGCCTGCAAAATACAACTCGCTACTTGGCGTCGCCGAAAGAGGCGCCATATGTCGGCACCATCACAACTGGTGTGCTACTACTGTTTGCTTGTCTCGCAAAAATGGGAGGCTTCCTTCTGGTTGTCCTGAACCATCCAGGAACGAGTTCTCTGCGCTAAGGCTGGTATGTCACCTGGCCCGTTTCTGAACCTGGCCCGCTTGAAGCCTGTCCTCCTCCAGAGTTTCAACATGTTCTTAGATTTAACTCGTTTGAAGGACCCCGGCTCCCATCGGTGTGTCTCGCTTTTGCCCCTGAACCACCAAGGCAGCAAAGCAACTACACCTCAACGAACTCTGAGTCTCGAAGCAAAAGGCCCTTAGGCCATTGGTGGCTTATGACTCCGAAGTCGAGCCTGGCACAAGCCCGTCACCTCCGAATGGGAAACAAACACAAGTCTATGCCCCATGCCACGGCCAGAAATGCTGTGGTGACAACACACCGCGGAATCCGTTCCAAAGGTCCCCATTTCAGAAACCTCGGGACCTCGCGGAGCTCAACCTGCGCGGCGCCGCGGCTGGCGCTTTTGCTTGGTCGGTTGGTCGGTTGGCTGGGCGGCTGGCTGCTCGGTTGCTACTGATCCAGAGCTACAGGGGAAGTTGTTGCAACCCCGTGATTCGGGGCTAGTGATTCGGGGCAAGGACCACTGGTCAGAACCTTCGGCTCTGGCCCCCAATAGATCTTGGTGTGTCAGCTAGCTAGGCCTTCGGCTATGGCAAGAATGAGCAATGACGGCTACATGTTGAAACTCTTTGAAACAGCTAAGGTGAAACCAGCTGGAAAGGTGGAAACATGTTGAAACTCTTACATGAAACTCTTTTCACCAACATCCTAGGCACCCTGGGACACATGCCGCGACCTTGGGGCTCCGGCTGGCATCTGCCGTGCTGCGGCAGGCGGTGTTGGGATGGCCACCGAAGGGATCGACAGCGTCAGTGAGTCGTGCTCCTAGGTACCCGTGGTCTCATAGGCGAGAAAGCAGATATGTCAGGAAATGCGGCAAATACCCAGCAAAAGTCCAGGATATTTAGAATTTCTTGTAGCTGGCTTCTTAGAGCCTTACTCGGTTGACGTTGGAAGGGGGAGCAAAAAATCACATTTTAGCAGTTAAGTGGATTTGGATTTCCCACTAAACCACAATAAGCAAAAATGTAAAAGGTGTCCCAACAACAAGAAGTAAATGTACATGTCTACGTCTACGTCTTCGCACCCCCATTCTTGTGCGTACTGCGCGAGAGGTGCCATCCTCAGGTGCCATTCGGCCTTTGCGCTGCATGACAACAGCAACAAGCTAGGGAGCGGCTTCATTTGTATACAGACTTCCATTTGCTTAAGCCCCCTGGAAAAAAAAAAACAAACAACATTGCCAGTAGTGATAGATTCCCTTTAAAGCCAACAGTGTAAAAAATAATAATAACAAATATTGTTAACAAAATGCAAGTTTACATACATATAATACAAGGGGCTAAATAGCTGCTATCATGACTACAACTAGTCTTCAATAGTGTTAAAGTACTCCACGATAACCTGTTTGTTGCAATTTGAACAACTGCGAGGAATGTTAACCTCGGATTAGTCCAGACCGTGCGAATCAGGGCCCACATTTTGGGGGGCTCTGTCTATTCTCCGACCAATCCAAAGTTGGCCCATGTATGTTACTACCCCGAGAATAAATTAAGGACTCTCTTCTTTTTGTAGCGGATTTTGAAGGGAAGCCTCCCGAAAAAGAAGCAAACAAACAAAACAACGCACGTGTCTGGGATATTTCAGACCTTCAAGTCCCGCGTCTTACGGAACATGAACCTGAGAAGCAATGTACAAAATGTAGGCATTGGATGATTTGGTGTGGAGCAAAGCGATACTGCACATAAATTTGTGCTGGCAAAAGGCCGGATTCAATGCCAAAGTAGCCATACAACTTACTTTGACATGGACACCTGCAAACTGAACTGCAACCTCCCTGTCCGTGTAAAAAAAAAAAAATGATAATGAGTGCTCCTCAAACAGGGGACCCCTTCGGCTTTGGCATTCAAAGGGAAACCAGGACGAAACCAACATCTTTAGGGGACCGCTATTTTGAGAGACCCCCATGCATGTCTTGGTTGACGTAAACAACAATAAGCAAAAATGCAAAATGTGTCCCAACGACAACCATGATGTGTCTGCTGGCAGAACTTGATTTGGATTGGGATTGGTAAACCCGTTGCACCCACGTGTCATTGGCGCTCGATCATGTTGCCCTGTTGGGCTTGCTTACTCGAGATAACACTTGGCCAAATTTACGAACAATTCACAAACCTAGAATAGCGGATTTTCCAAGGAAGCGGCCGTCATCATGAACTCCTTTTAATGACTATGCGAGCTAACGATAATTTGACCCCCTCCCGCCACCTTTGAGATGCGGTGGATCTTGCGATTATGACAGCGCATGAGGCAAACTGGCTATAAAGGCGATGTCTGAAACAACCAAATGCGGAATATATGTTTTGCGTCAAAGGTGGTGGTTGTTTTTTGGTTGGTGTCCCTCAAAACAAGGAGCAGGGTACCGAACCCGGTTTCCTGCATAGCAGGTACCCAGCCATTTTCCTTTAGTTTCTGAAGAGTGGCTCCCTTGGTTACCTATAGCTTACTTGCAGAGGCCCGTTTTGAAGCACAGGG